AGCCCCGGCCCCGTGAGCCCAGCCCCGTGGGCCCCCGCACCATGAGTCCCGGCCCCGTGAGCCCGGCCCCGTGGGCCCCCGCCCCGTGTGCCTGCTCCCCCAGAGTTTTCATGTTGGCTGGTGGCTGGTGTGCAGCTTCAGCGTCTGTACTGACACCCAGGGAGCCTGGGGGTCTGTGTGTTCTTGTCTCCTCACTTTTCTTCCTCTGGGAATAATCTCTCATCGTTTTTTCTGTGAATCATTTGTCTTTTTTTTTTAAGATGTTATTTATTTATTAGGGAGAGCGAGCGAGCATGAGCAGGGGCAGCGGCAGAGGGAGAGGGAGAAGCAGGCCCCCCGCTGAGCCGAAGGCAGACGCTTCACCGACTCAGCCGCCCAGGTGCCCTGTTTGGTTGGTTTTTGATGAACAAACATTTTAAATTCCAACATAGTCTGTCTCACTGCTTTTCTCTGCTTTCATGTCTTTTCTGTCTGATTTAATAAACCCTTTCCTGACTGAGGTCCTGAAGCTCTTCTAGGTGTTTTAAGGTTTGAATCGGTGGGTTCTAACTGGACGGTTTTCTGTAGAGACAGTTGACCTGGGCTGTGAATGCCACCTTTCCCCCAAGGGGGAGATCTGTGAGGGGCTTTCTTTTTTTCCGTCCATGCGTCCGTGTGCACACCGGAGCATACCGCCTGCCTTGGCTTCCTGGCAGGCCTTCGTGCGCCCCCTCCCGCCCTTTTCAGAATGCCGTGGCTCTTCTGTATAAATGATAGTTAGGGGGCGCCTGGGTGGCTCAGTCGGTTAAGCGACTGCCTTCGGCTCAGGTCGTGATCCTGCAGTCCCGGGATCGAGTCCTGCATCGGGCTCCCTGCTCAGCAGGGAGTCTGCTTCTCCCTCTGACCCTCCTCCCTCTCCTGCTCTCTGTCTCTCATTCTCTCTCTCTCAAATAAATAAATAAAATCTTTAAAAAAAATAAATAAATAAAATAAATGATAGTCTGTCCCCTACCCAGAAGACGTGTCCTGTTGGGATGCTGACTGGCAGTGTATCAAGACCACAGGCTGATTTGGGGGAAATGCCGCCTGGGATGTGTGCAGCTCCTGGCGGCGGCTCATCCTTCACCTGTGAAGATCGAGTGCTCTGCTAGACGTGTTCCCAGGACCGTGTTCTTGCTGCCGTCCTTCCTCCGTGTCTCTTGTCCCTGTTTTCTCCCGTCCCTTCCCAAGGCCCTAATGCTCCCAATGTCCTCGGTGCTCAGAGTGCTGGTCCTGCCAGGTGTGGCAAGTGGTGTCGTGGTTGAGTCTCATCCGTCCAGTCGCTTCTCTGTTCCCTTCGGGGGTGTGACCGTGCACCGAGGCGTGAGAGGCGTCGGGCTCTGCTGTCGCTCTGAGGGAAAGACTGGCTGCCGTGGTGATGCTGAGCACCCCAGGCTCACACACCAGTCTCCCCACGGCGCTGTGTCCACCCGGCGCTTCACCTTCTGGTGGCTCCGGCACGGTCAGAGAGGACCTGCTGGGGCCGATGCCGTGGGCAGGCTCGGGAATGCACACCTGCAGGTGTCCTGGCCCTCTGGGCCTTGACGAGGCAGTTTACCCGGTATCCCTTGGACCGAGGCCAGAGGGGAAGACCATGTGAGGGAGGGCACGCGCGCCTCTCCCTGTGCCCGCGGTAAGCAGGCGGCCAAGCCGACTCAGGCCGAACCTGCCGGCCCGGAAGTGGGATCGGACATCCTGGTGGGTCCAGTGGTGTCTGCCCAGCGCCTAGGACGCTGCCAGCTGAGCGATGAGGCCCGTGGGTTGTGGAGCTGTGCCCTCCGGTGTGCTTGAGTAGGTGTGAGGCTTCCTGAGCCCGAAATGCCCGCTGCGTGCACAGCGGCACCTGGATGTGGGCAGGCCGGCGTGCTTGCCGCCTTCACCTTCCCAGGTGGTGCTCGTGGCCCCACCTGGGTTCCACACGTGCACCCCGTTCCCTCCCTGAGGGATGACCGAGCCCCGGCCGCAGTTCAAGAGCTGGGGCATAGCATTGGTCAGGGCCCCTGGTCAGGGAGAGCAAAGGGGTTTGCCCTTCAGGCAGGGTTTACGGGCAGGGGACGGCTCAGCACCCTGTGGCCCTCGAGGCAGTGAGAGGACAGGAGGGCACAGCAGGCCCAGCCGTTTCTTTCTGGGGGGCTCTGGGGTCTCTGCAGCCCATCCCACGGTTTTGCTCTCAGGCTGCTGCCTGCATTGATGAATTCATTTAGCAGTGAGAGTGGGTTTGGTGCCTGCCGGGGTCTGGGACTTGGAGAGTCTTCGTGGCCACACCGGCTGTCTGTAGGAAGCAGGAGAGTGACTAGACAGCAGCTGCACAGAAGGAAACACAGCGGCCAATCGGATGATGGGGTGATGGGAGTTTCGGACAGAGCGTTGATGTGAAGTCTGAGGACAGGACAGGTGAGGTCTCTACTAGATGCCAACAATGTAGAAGGGTGGAAGAGGCGTGAGGTCCCTGCCACTGCAGGCTTCGCAGCAGGACGGCCGCATAGGGCAGGGGCAGTCCCTGAGGTGGGCAGGTGTGCGCGCTGTGGCGGGCGCTGATGCTGGGAGGGCCAGAGGCCTGGAGGGGGCCCCAGGGACCCAGGCGTGCAAGGAGCCAGTGGGGACGACCAGGGGCTGGGCACTGGCGGGGCCCTGCTACCTGCTCAGGCCATGGCCAGCTCGCATCGGAGCCCGGGGTCATTCCGGCCTGAGAGCTTCTCCAGGTGGCACCGGCTCTGGAGGACGTGCTCTGTCCTCGACACCAGCCACCCTGCAGGAAGTCTCTGCTCCTCCACACCCCACCCCGTCTCCCCTCTGCCTTCCCTGGGGAGCATCCCACTTTGCAGCCCCTACGCTGACCTGCTGGGCTCCCCGGAAGTGGCAGTCCTTTTTCTAAATGAGATACAATTCACGTAAAATTTACCCTTAAACAGTGTGTAGTCAGGGTTCTTCGTGTATTCACAAGGTTGCGCGGCTGTCAGCACTGTGCATCTGGAACATTGTCTCCCCGGCCCAAAAGGAGCCCTGTGTCATCAGCAGCCGCCCCCACCCCCTGTCCCAGCCTGGCAACCACTAATCTACCATCTCTCTCTGGATTTTTCTGTTCCTGACACCTGACATAAATGAGATCACACAACAGGTGGTCTTTTATGATTGGCTTCCTTTCCTCAGGTAATGTTTTCAAGGTTCATCCACGCTGTAGCACGTTTCGGGGCTTATTCCATTGTATACACATACCACATGCATGTTGTTCATCCGTTCGTCGGGTGACAGACGTTTGGGCTGTTTCCACTCTTTGTCTGTTGTGATTCGTGCTTCTGTGAACATTGTGCACAGGTTTCTGTGTAGACATGTCTCTGTTTCTCTTGGGTCAGAGAAACGCTGGGAATTTCTGAAGAGCTGACAGACTCTTTCCTAGAGTGGATTCCCACCAGCAGAGTATAAAGGTTGCAGTTTCTCCACATCCTCTCCAATACTTGCTATGTTTTTTTTTTTTAAGATCTTATTTATTTATTTGACAGAGAGACATAGCAAGAGAGGGAACACAAGCAGGGAGAGTGAGAGAGGGAGAAGCAGGCTTCCTGCCGAGCAGGGTGCTCGATGTGGGGCTCGATCCCAGGACCCCGGGATCATGACCCGAGTGGAAGGCAGACGCCCAACGACTGAGCCACCCAGGCGCCCCTAAAATCTACTGAGATTTAATTTGTGTTCTAACATATAGTCTATCCTGGAAAATGTCCCATGTATACTTGAGAACATGTAGAGGTTTGTTGGGTAGAGCGTTCTATATATGTCTGTTAGATCTAGCTGGTATTTTTGTTTTTAAAGCCTCTACTTTCTTACTTCTGGCTGTTCTATCCATTATTGAAAGTAGGGTATTGAAGTCTCCAACTATTATTGTACCACTGTCTATTTCTCCCTTTAATTCTGTCAGCTTTTGCTTCATATATTTGATGGGTCTGTTGTTAGGTGCATAAATGTTTATAACTCCTATAACTTCTTTCTGTATTTAACCTTTTATTAATGTTAATATATTAATAATGTCCTTCTATGCCTCCTGTAAACTTTTTTTGACTTAAAATCTGTTTTGTCTGATGTTAGTACAGTCATCTGCTATCTTTTGATTACTATTTGCATGGAATATCTTTTTCCATCCTTTCACTTCCATCTATTTGTATCTTTGGATCTAAAATGAACCCTTGTAGGTAGCATATAGTTTGATCATGTATTTTTATCCATTCTGCCAATCTTTGTCCTTTGATTGGAGAATGTAATCCATTCAGATTTAAGTAACTATTGATAAAGAGGGACTTCTGTCATTTTGCTATTTATTTTCCATGCCTTATAGCTTTTTTGTCCCTCATTTTCTGTATTACTTCTTTTGTGTGTTTATCTTTTGTAGTAAAATCCCTTTCTCACTTCCTTTGCATATATTTTACAACTATTTGTTGTTACCATCAGAATTACATTTAATATCTTGAAGTTATAACACTCTAATTTGAATTTACACCAGTTAAACCTCAATAAAAGAAAAGCTCTGCTCTTTTACAGCTCTATCCCCATCCCTTTTGGTTGTCAGTATCACAGTTACATCTTTATACCCTGTGTGCCTCAAAACATGAACTAAGAATTATTTTAAATGCACTGAACTCTTAAATTACATAGAGAACAAAATTTAGAGTTTATTTATTTATTAAAATATTTTATTTATTTATTTAATTGACAGGGAGAGAGAGAGACAGCATGAGAGGGAACACAAGCAGGGGGAGTGGGAGAGGAGGAAGCAGGCTTCCGGCTGAGCAGAGAGCCCGATGTGGGGCTCGATCCCAGGACCCTGGGATCATGGCCTGAGCTGAAGGCAGTCGCTTAACCA